CGGAAATTTCAATGTCCAACACATAAACTATAGGATTTGAGCAGGCGTGACTTGTAAAGTTGCGCAGTCGCTCTCATAGCTGGCAGTCTAACATTCAATGGCCCACACCGCGCTCCAGCAAAACCATCACGCAGGCAGAGCAGACCCTTCCATGAGCATGGTGGGCGGGAAACATGAGCGTGGTGGGCGGGAAACTTCGAGTTTTTAAGGCGCTAGAGCATGCTAGAGCGAGTTTTTAGAGACTCTCGAGTTAGTAAGGCATCCTCCTTACTAACTTACGATGCCTGTGTAACTTGGGACTCGGAGCCTGCTGGTTGACCTGAAAGGCAAACAGTGCAATATTCACTTGATGGGCCCTGCTGCGTTCAGCTCCTGCAGGGCGGATCGACCATGGTTGGCAATCGATGTGACCGTCGCCTGAGAGGGTCACCACCGTTCTCAAAAGAGGTTTCGACTCAGCTTCTGTTGGAACTCTTTCAAGACGGGGCCCATAGGCAACGAATGCCTGATCAATCTTTGAAGCACTTTCACCAAAAATGATGGTGAACTCATTTCGAAACCGATTTACATTTACCACCCCTTTTCGTGTGTTCTTCACAATATGCTGAAGAGACCGTTTTTGATCACAAACAGTACCCTGTTCAACAGCTTTCTTTGGGGGAGTTCTACGAACATGACTGTCGGTTTCGGACCTTGGTGCACTTATTTTATGCATATCGGAGGTTACGACTTGGTTAGTATTGGGCTCATTATCATGTTTATACTCACACTCGTGACAGTCCTCATGATCGGCTTCAGGATGATCTTGTGAGGACATCGAAGATTTCAAAGGCGCGACAACTTCCGGAGCAGGTTCACACAAATTCAGCAGGAGATGGCCATTGGCGGCCTGCCTGAGTGGCACCTGATCCATGCCATGCTTTTTGCTCGACAAGGTGAGTGTTGCCAAGTCTAGCTTCACTTCCTTCAAGCACGCGGCGGCTGAGCAAGAAAGGAGCATTGCCCGGCACCACATAGGTGGTAATGGTGCCAGTGTCACAACCCAAACGAACTGTCCAGCGCAACCCTTCTGAGGTCTTGATCACACTGCCAGGGGAGAATCCTCGCAGCTCAACAGGCGGCAAGACGCATGTTTGAGGTTCTGGGTGGCCACATGCCAACATATGCTTCTTCAGCTCGGTTGCGGTGTCATGTCCAACAATGCTTGTTGTACAACCTGTATCCAACACTGCGCAACCAACTGGCACCGACGCAACGTAAACTTCCCAATCCGACCCATGCAGGGGTACAAACACTTCTTGCACCATGTCTGCGAAGTCCGGTGGAAAAGCTCGCTTGAGCCAGGTTAGCTTCTTCTCGTCGAGGAGGCTTGAAAGGAGGCTTGTTAGGTCCTCCAGGCTTTGTCGACGGCTTTCGGTCATACTTGAAGGTCTGTTTTTGCACAGGTGGCTGAGACGAGGCACCTGGCTGCTGCTGCTCATTCGGAGGAATGGCAACAACCGGATAGTATGGCTGTCTTTGTTTCTTCAATTCTCGAACTCGCTTTTTGGTTTCTTTGTAGGTCTTCATACCTTTCTTCACTTGAAGTTTGGCCTTTCTCTGCAACTCGTAGACTTCCTCGATTTCAGCTTCTGTGTCACCTGGTTCATCTTCAGCAGCATGAACCTCTTCCCAAGCTCCAGAGTCAGCAGAATCGAGCCCTTCTGGACTCGTGGATTCATCATGCACCTCATGCACGTACTCAGGCTCAGGCTGGTAGTCCTGCACTGCAAAGGTCTCCCGTCGCGGCGGAGGACGGTGAGGTCTTCGATCCAACTTTCGTTCATCAATCACAGTCTCATAGTCAGAGGCACGGAGGATTCTCTCGACGTCATCATAGCGCGAGGAACCATTTGTGGCCCTGATCACAGACGCACGCTGTTCACGGGACAATCCATACTTCTTCATGAAGAGGTGGCCCAAGATGCTTTTGGGGAAAGATGGATCTTGGTTTCAAATGACCCTGCTCCAGCACAGCAAGCACCTGCTGCATCTTCCTGTGTGATTGAGCATCTCGACCGATCGAGGAAGGTGGCTTTGAACGAATTGGCTCTGTTGCAGCACGTTGATCATGATCTGACGACGAGGCGGCAGCCTCCTGAGCAGTTTCATGCTCAGACGGGTCAGGTGAACCTGAAGGGGCTGGCTCCTCAGGTGGAACGTCTGCATCAGGTGGTTCTGAATCAGCAACGCTGCTATCGTCGTCGCTTTGTGCAGCTCACACTCCTGCGCAATCAAGCTCTGTAAACGATCCAGCTGAGTGCGGAAGCGGGAACTGAATGAGGTTGGACCTTCATGAGGATGTCGCTTCAAGGAGAACAGAAAATTGTCAGCAGCGCCATGCAACTCTGTTTCTGGCAAGTATCTGTAATGCTTGTCCAATGCATGAATCACTGCTGTCCAACCAGTATCTTCTCGAAGCTTGTGTATCGGGATATGTTCTGTAGCGCGCCAAGCTTCTCCAGACAAACGACCAAGCAGCTTTGCTCCAGCAAGGTGAGCATTCTTATCCTCAACTGATGCAACTGCCAACAAGGTTCGCCACCGGAAATCACGGTATCCACTTGGATTTCCGTCGAAGCTCAGATTGTAGAACATGTCTCTTCCACAGTCAACGGCCATGGAGGAAAAGGGTCTTCAGGGCAGAGTGCCCTCACAAGAGCTACGAAGATCGGAGCTCGGAGGAAGCCTCGGATGAGGCCAGGACCGCGGAAGGCCCTCACGAGTGGAGCAGGCTTGGAGCGACCTGCTCCGCTACCATGTAGAAATGGTAGCGACGGCAAGGCAAGAGAGGAAGATACGTGGAAATGAGATTCCACCACAATCGCCCTTCACTAGGCGCACTCTTTTCTCATCCCATCGTGAGCGCAGCGAGTGTCATGGCTACCAAGGGGCCCCTCGTAGAGGCACAGCCAACGGCAGCGGGAAGCGGAATTCATAGTCTTTAACCTGGCAAGGTGCACGATCGTCCGATCACCCTTCCACTTTCACACATATATATATATGTTTGTTGCCACCATCCCTTTCATGTTCTGTCACCTTTTGTTTTGCCTGGGAGGAGAGAGCTGGATCTCGTTGCTTCTCTTTCTTGGACCATCCATCACCAAGGGAGCTTTGCTTGGAACCTCCATCCAAGTCCGCAGATGGCCAGACTGACCTCAAGACAGCTGCCAAATCCAAACCACAGCCAGCACAGCCACCCTACAATGGGAGCGACGCCGAGACCTTGATTCTTGGTGCTCAGCCGGATACACCAGAGGCCGTCAAGGCTCACCCCCAGCTCAATGGCACGCCCCCCATTGAGGTCATCAAGAAGGACACCCATGCAAGGACCAAGAGCAGCCGGTTCCCGAAAGGAAGAAGGAAGGCGGTGTGGAAAGCAAGGAGGGCTCCGGCAAGGGCTCGGCTGTGGTCGTCAGCGCCAAAGCTGAGCTTGCTCGGGCAATGGTGAGGAGCTGCTTGCGAAGGCAAGGCTCAAGGGCGATGCTGCCAGTCGTGTTGAGCGGAAGGATGTCAAAAGGAAGCGGCAAGAGGCTGAAATGAAAGGTGCACCCAAAGCTCTCGATGCCGAAGCTGCCACAGGTGACGGTAAAGCAAAACTTGCCCCGCAGAAAGGCGGCGCACCGTGCTGCCAGCAAGCGCTGGCGTGACAAGTGGATTCGCAAGGGAGTTCCTCGTGACAGTGCCTTGGCCAGCACAGGCACCGAGACGGACACCCCAACGCAAGAGGAAGAACAGCCCGGCGGCCAGTGCCCGGCCAGCGGCCGCAAGAGGAAGGACACCCCGGAAGAGGAAGGACAGCGGCCGCAAAGGACACCCCGGCCAGCGGCCGCAAGAAGGAGAGCAACTCTAAAGTCGATCTTCGCAACTTCGTGAAGAAGTTTTTGGCGGAGTACCACAGTGAAACGCCGGAGACCAAGTCTTCCAAACTTCTAAAGGCCTACCAAGCCTGGATGGAATCAGATTTGCGGGCCTCCTACCAGCGCAAGCCCGGCACACAATGCTTGTGACAGGCGGAGCCCTGTAGTTTTCTATTTTCACTACAGTGCTTGAGCCTTGAGCACCATCCTTGGGGAAAACACCTACCGATTTGAGTGCCTTGCAACGCCTTGACAATAGCATTTAGATTCGGAGAGGCATGCCCAACACACTTCCTTCCTTCTTGTCCGGTGCCCAAGGACAGCCGCCAGCGGCCAGGCCAGCAGCAGCGGCCGCCCTTAGCTGCAACAGCAGCGCTGGGTGGGGGGTATGAGGGGTAAAGAATTCCCCCAAAGTGTGAGGTGGGTCAACAACCCATCCCAGTTACATTGAAACTCAGAACTGGCAACTTTGTAGTGGAAATGCACTGCGGCGAACTGCGCGACCTTGGTGAATAATGCGTTTGCGTGAGTCCGTGCCGTGTCACTGGGGGAGTGGCATTTGTGGCGCGCTGTGTGGAGAATTTTTTTGTGTGTTGTCGCTGTGCTACGGCGATGGGCCTTGGGGGCGCTTTTCTATTTGCCCTCTTCTCGTTCTGTGTTTCCTTTTTTTGCATTGGGAAATGTCTACTTCACATCCTAGCTTTGCCGATCCAATGTCTTGCGCGTATATCCAACGTAAACTCCTTGCGCGGAGCTGGAAACATATAGCTATGGCAGCGGAGTTTTGGTTAGGAGTACTAGGTCGGAAATCTAAATATGGAACTACAAACAGAAAGGGACGGCGCTAGAAACATTACCTTTTGAAGACACAAAAATCTATGTCTAGGACCTATTCTTCATACTTGCGCCACCACAGCAGCGTGTGACGTAAGAAGGCACCGCCATCATGTCTCTCTATGTGGTCAGGGTTGGGAGAAGAGGCGAAATTGTGAAAAGAAGAAAAAATACTAAAAGGAAAGGAGCCAAGAGAAAGCGGGGGTCGAGAGAGGGACTTTGCCAGAACAAGCCATAGCAAGAAACGTGAGTGATAGGACAGGGGAGTCGACGGATATGGGCATCTAAAGGGAAAAACGCCAAAACTACACGAGGGGGTGTCATGGACTGTTGATTTTGGCATCTCAATTCCTCGACCACCTGCCACGCAAGGTGCCAGACACAAGCAGGTTTATGGTTGTGGTGCGCAGTTGTGTATGTGTGATTTGTGGTTGTGTGTTTGTGGTGGTGTTTGTGGTTGTGTGTTGTGTGAGTGTGTGTGGGGTGTGGGCGCTTGCTGTTGATGTCCGAGGCTGTCCACTGCGTTTTGCTGCTGCTTTGTTGCCGCTGCTGCTGCTTCTCGCTGCCTGCTGCTTGCTTCCCTTCAAAGTCTTCAAGGCTCTAACTTTCCTCCACCTCGATCGCATCCAATTATGTCACCCCAGTGCGGTGGCCAGTTTTCACCTTAGACTGCCGCACCAAAACCGTTGTTTTGTTTTTCTTGGTAGTGTTTGAATTGGCCGCCAAGGTGGGGGGCTACATCTACACCACAAAAGAAGCAGCGAAAGGCAAATGTCAATCTTTAGGGTACCAAGGCCTATGCAATCAAAGCGAAGTAGAAGGCAAGTTTTGGGAAAGGGTCAGGGCCAAAATCTCCAGCCGCTGCAAGGTTAGCGACATGACATGAACACTTTTGATTTGGTCGCCTCCACACCAGCCTGCAGGATATTCCAACTGCGCATATGGATGGATGAATGACTACAAAGGTTACTGGTACCACGAGACACTTGCTGGCTGTGGTTCAGGCACTGGATTCCGAGACGGGAGCAGCGAAAATGCAGTTGGCGCCTATTGCTGCCACATCGCTCCGGAAATCTCAAGAGAATATGTTGGGAGCCAAGCAAGTCGACAAGTTCTGACACGCAACCCTTCTGCAGACTTGTTCATTCAGGGTTGTCATAATCTGTGATTTTCTTTTTATATTATATAATATATATATATATAACTGTCCCACATGCGCATTGTTGTTTCGCACAATGGCTTGACTGTGCTGAAGTCCGTCAGTAAGTATCACGCCGCAGCTCCTTTACAGTGTCCAGGTCCTTTAGCTTGGCTTGGCTCCACGGCTCATGATTGGAATGCCATGGGAAACAATCAAAGCGTGAACGGGGCAGTTAAGGTGGCGGGATGAAATTAGTTGCTTGGTTTGGTGGGGACGCAGGGGCTTGGTTGCGCGATACGGTGTGCTGGGGTGCGCTGATGTGTGCTGTGCACGGGTGCGCTGATGCGTGCGTGTCGTGCTCTCAACATTCCGCCTCTTATACTGTCTAGTGGAACTCGGTATCATGGCGCAGCGCGTTCTCTTGCACCTTTTCAATAGCAAGGTTCACTTTTGCATTCACAGGCTCTTTCGCCTCATACTTCCAGCCTCCTGAGTTGCGGTTCTCACCGTATTTTCTACTCGTACATAGTTTCTAGCACCGCCGCTGTAGGGCTCACAACTTCCATCAGTTTCCCGTTGTACTGCACGAACCGAAGCAGCCTCTGCGCTGCAGTTTGAGGTGACTTACTACTTGCTTCCTGCTTGCCTCCGATTCAACTCCTTATCGAATACTTTTGGTCTTCCAAAATCGTTTTTGTACTCCTAGCCCTCCTTGCAGATTGCATCTTTGCTCCCAGCTTCTTTTGTATTGTGGAATTCCGCTAGCCAGCCGCTACAGTTTTTCCATCACTTGCAAAATTTGTGTGCACCGCGCAATCAGACATGAAAGGATTGCTTTTGTTCCCATTGCGCAAGATGCCGGCATGCAGCGGGAAACCTCCATGGAACCTGGGGGTCCTTATATAAGTGCAAATGCATCAGGATGCCCCCAAGCGTGTCCCTCAGCTTTGAAATCCGGTTTGGGGTGCCGCCTCTGCCTCGCCATGCAATCCTCAGTTTGTTGCGCAATAGAAAGCTGGAGCCTGCTGGAAGATGTCAACTCTGTTTGCTGCCACCTGTACTGATCAACTGGATTTTTGGTAGATAGCTTTTGTGATCAGATGTAGCACCAGTTACATGTACATGCCATAGTTGTTCATAGATGTATGTTTCACTGCAGCCAGTTGTGTTCTTTTGGACCTACTTGATCGCATTGAAGCGTGAGCTAAAAGTGTGCCTAAGCTTTGAATACAACCTTTGGGACTGTGACTTGGGGTCACTACGTTTGTGAGCCTAAATTCTCCGTTCATGGTAGCGGAGCCGCGGTTGGAAGACCGCCTACCGTGTGCGGATCGAAGGTTGCCGAACTGCATCGGTCTGGCGCCGGAGATCCGTGAATACAAACATCACTTGCAGGAAAGCCGGATTGCTTCAATCCCTGGCTAGCAAGTCAACATGGCGCAACAGCCAGGAGCACAGGCACAACAAGCCACAGACATGGCACAGCAGTTTGCACAGATGATGCAAGCCTTAGCACAAGGGCGGCAGAACCAGCTACAGCGAGCAATGGCAGAAGCATACGCTCAGCAAACGGCAAACACAAGAAACATAGCAACTAGTGTGGAAGTACGAGACAGATCAGAGTTGAAAGGCATCCCAAAGCCTGACAAGTTCAATGGACACACAGGTACCTGGGACTCATGGTACTTCAAGTTCAAGACTTGGATTGAGACAAGTCACAAGAATGCAGGAAAGTGCATTCAGCTCCTCAAAGAGCATCAAGATACAGAGATCAATGAGACATCTCTGGAAGATGATTAAACTGAAGGAGCCGAGCTTGTTTCAGCTCAGGCCCGGCAGGCTCTGATCTCACTGTGTGGGAGAAGCCCTCGAGATCGTCAAGAATACCTCCAGAGGTCAGCACTTTGGCCTAGAGGCATTGCGACGACTGCTCACCAAGTCACTAAGTATGATCCACAGAATCCACAAGCAAACTCAGCCTTGGAAGAAAGTCCTGCACCCACAACACTGTGCACTAGACAAGCTCTAGAAGCTTGGGAGAACATCAGGCGAAAGTACGAAGAGCGAAAGAAGAAAGCTCTTGATGACGACATAGCCAGAAGTTGTCTCCAGCAGATGTGTCCAGCCAAGCTTCAAGATCACCTTGACCCCCAGAGTTCAAGACTCACTGACTATGCCATCATGAAGTCAGAGATTTTGGCCTATCTCGAGAACATCGAGAGCCGAAGAGAAGCCAAGACAGGATCAGCGCCAATGGATGTTGATGCGTTGGCCGCAGCTGCCAGCCAGATGCAAGCTTCACATTCGAGCCTGGCCAAAGCCAAAGGAAAAGGCAAAGGTGGCTCAAAAGGCGGCAAAGGAAAAGGAAAGAGTCAAGATGGAGGCAAGGGAAACGACAAAGGTAAACAAAAGGGAAAAGGTTCGAGTTGGTTCAATCCCGCGTCATGGAACAATTCATGGAATAAGAATGATTGGTGCAAGAATGATTGGCACAAGAATGATTGGAACAAGAGTAGTTGGTACAACCCAAATTCCAAGGGTAAAGGCAAAGCTGGCAAAGGCAAAGATGCTAAAGAAAAGGGCAAGAGAAAGAGTAAGAAGGTAGCGACAGTTGAGGAATCTGAAACCTCTATGGCTCAAGAGCATCAACCCGAGCCTGAGTATTCCGCTGACATCGCCACTCTCTTTGCCATCGAGATGGAGAAAGCAGCACCTGCCGCAATCTCTCGTGGAGCAGCCCAGGCAAAAGCCCAGACTGAAGTCAAGGCAATGCCAAAGAAGCCAGGAGCTGGAAAAGGTCGCCCTGGAATTGCAGCTGTTGGGATTGCAGTCATGAATCAAGCAATCCAAGAGACCACGCAGTCCAATCGTGAACTGTATGAGAAGGAGTCCGAGTCAATCCAAAAGGCCATTGAAGAGGCCGAGGCTCAAGGCAAAGCTGCCAATGATGCCATCTTGGAACGACAGGCTGAGATGAAGAAGCTGCGAGAGCAGTATGCTGAGAAAGAGAATGAGGCCAAGATTTTGCTGAAGAGGCCAACTCCTCGCCGCGCCGCTTCGGTGCCGGCGGAGTCGCCAAGGCTCCCAGCTGATTTGGCATCAGGCATGGATCCAAGATTGGCCAAGAAGAAGGAGAAGAGCCGTGCGCGCGCCGAACAGCATCGAGTTGCTATGGCCCAGGGTCGTATCGAATCCTGGGCGACTATGAGTCCAAGTACCCTAAGCTTCGGAGAAGACACAAAACCTGGCTGGCAGACAAAATTTTTGATTCTGAGCTCCCAGAAGTCAATTTGGGAAGTCTAGATTTATGTTTGCCAGACAGTTTTTCCACTGGCAGCCAGGTTTTTTGACTTCTTGCCATGGTGCAAACTTGTCTGCCAGACAGTTTTTTTAATCTTCTGGCTCCGAAAGTGTCTTCTGAGAGATGTCACATGTAGAAGTCAAAAATTTTGTCTTCTAGCAAGGTTTTCAGAAGACAAAAAACAACTTCTGCAGAAGTCAATTTTTTACTTCTAGAACTAGGCAAGGTCTTGCACTAGAAGACAAAAAAGCACTTCTTTTCACTGCTAGCAATTGGTTTTCATATTGCCATGGCCTCCAATATCATCTTGCTGAAGCAAATGACCAGGTGAAAGCCTTATCCGCTTTGATCAAAGGATCAATACCACATTGCACTGTGGCTGATTTTCCAACAGGTGTATACCAAGCCTGCTAGAGGCTGGTCGCTTTCTTGACCCTGTGGTTTGGAGCCAGCAGCAACAAGAAGCCTGAAGAGAGGCTAGCTTTCAAGGATGCTTGTCCAAAGCTGACAGGTTCTGAAGTCAAGCAAATTGTAAACAGTTTGCATGAATACAAAGTTTGGCTCAAAAAGAAAAAATAATATGACAACTGGTGTGAAAACCGACCCTGTGCTGAAAACACTTTTCCAAGTGATTTTCAAACAAGAAGAGCAAAGCCTGCAAAAGGCTGGGAGTGCTAGCAGCAGCACCAGTAAGCCTGCAACAAAAAGGCTGCGGGGGAAGCAATCACCTGGTCCAAGCAAAGAGGAAAGCCAGCCTGCAAAGGCTTCTCAAAGCAAGCCTGTGAAGGCTGTCAAATTCTTTTGGGACAGTGAGCCTGAGCAAAGCAATGAGTCAGAGATTGTGTCTGTCTCAAGCTCTGGCGTTGTTCATGCATCAGAGCTGTCAGAAGTTGAAGAATTTGAACAAGAAAAAGAAATTATGAAGAAGCCTGCAAAGGCTGGTGCTTCCAAAAAACCTGCTGCCAAGACTGGTTTGAAGAGGCCAGCAGCCAGCAAGGCAAAGGTAAAGAAAAAGCCTGCAAAGGCTGAAGAAAAATTAGAACAGGGTGAAGAAGAGGCTGGGGCAGAGCCTGAAAAGGCTGAGGAAGAGTCTGAAAAGGCTGACAAAAAGCCTGCAAAGGCTAGGGGCAAAGCTTGGCTTCCTTCCAAAAGCTTTGGGTTTGTTTATGAAACAAGGGCTGCCAAAAAAGCTTACATCCAAGCAAAGCCAGACATGGCTGGCCAAAAGTATTGCCTGGTGAATGTGGAGCTACCCAAAGGGAAGCAGCAAGACGAAATAATGGATCAGCTCATTGAAAAAGCCTGTGAAGAAGGCTGGACAAAAGAAAGCTTGGTGAAATGCAAACTTGGGTTGCTTAAAGCCTGAAAAGGCTGAGAATCCTGGGCACTTTTGGCAACTGTTTTGATGAAGCCTGCCAAAGGCTATAGGCAGCAAAACCAAGCCTGCAAAAAAAAGTAAAGCAAAGGTAAGTGTGAGAAGGCTGCATGAAGCCTGCAAAAGGCTGTCAACCTTTGAATGGCCAAAGTGCCAAGCCTGATCGGCTGATTGATTTTTTGCTCCAGAAAATGCACCTTTTCGAATTCTGGTGCTCACAGGAATTGAACATCCTAAATAAGTTTTGCTTGCATTTTTTTGGCTCAAAAG